CTATTGGTTTTTTGGTATCTCTACCTTAATACTTTTATATGTAAAATAATTAGAGAAATCACGTTATCTAAAAAAACTACACAATTCCATTTAAAAAAGTGGAGGTAACCTTCATATCTTTTTAGCGCCTCCACTTAGAAAAAAACAACGTGACTAAAACGTGTCCCTCTCGACACCGTTCCATTTTTATTTGAAACATTTTTGTCTATTGGATTTAGTTTTCGAGATAATCAGCTGGAAAGTTTTCAAATAAACACCCTGTATGTAAGTACTTTATAAAAATTTGAGAATATTTAATACTTAAAAATTTTTAGACCAAAATGTTAAAAGACTCACAACAGCTATCGTAGATCGCTTCTGCACGAGATGTTTAAAAAAAACTTACAATTGATATTTGACGAGAAATGCGATTTCCCATAAAGAAACCTCCACAATACTTGAAATGAAACATATAATTGGATCCAGGGAGATATTCCAGGGTAGGGAGTCATGCTGAAAATAGACTGTCAAAATTTTTATAAACTTTCTTGAATAGATATTGAATATTGAATTAATGAACAGAAGAATGAGAGTTGAAGATAGGTGAAACTACATGGACGAATTTAACATTACTCTTTTGATTTGCTTCTGTAAAAGAATCTACTAAAAAATCTTAGGTCTGTTTTCTATAGCTGAACTAATATATACTTTTGAAACTTTTTTAATATACACTTAAAATAAAATAGATATACATTTTATATTTATTAGTAAAAGAGCAAGAAAATTCTAATGTAGAAATAAAAAACAGACCTATTATATCAAGTGGGAATTAATTAGATATGATTCAAATTTGTATGTGTGTGTGTGTGTGTATATATATGTGTGCGTGCGTGCGTGCGTGCGTGCGTGCGTGCGTGTGTGTGTGTGTGTGTGTGTGTGTGCGTGCGTGCGTGTATGTGTGTGTAAGAACATCTCTGGAACTTTGAACAAAAACATTAAATGTGTAGCTAAAATGGATTTTAACTTTGCTAACGATAACGTCATTCATGTTCAACATTTGAAAACAACATTTTGAACAAAATGTTGGAATGTAATACATCAATAAAAATAACAAGAAAATACGTAAGAAGAAAAAGGATGAAACATACACTCACATATAAGATTGCAATAAATAAATCCAACATTTTATTCAGCAATAATACGAACAGGATGAAAAAATCTTTCGGCTGCTTTACGACATAATATTTGTAATCGACTTACACAATATACCTCGAGTATTTTTACAAGTCTTTTCTTTTTCGAACGATGCGAATTGTAAAAGATTTGATAAATTCTAAGAGTCGTAAAAAGTCGTAAGGGTGAAGGGCCTTCTACAATAAGCCGTAAGTCACAAATCATAAGTCATAAGCTAGAAATGGACCAATCACAGTCGTTAATTTTTAGTTTCTTACTTCCGATTTATGACTTATGGCTTATTGTAGAAGGCCTATAAGTGTTACTAAAGCGATAGAACGCTGCATTCGCAAGACGATTAATTCATTTGCACCCATGGCAAGATCTTCAAAAATACATTTACTTTTATGTGTTTCACAAACAATAAATGCATGTGAAGGGCAGATGCGTTCTTACCAACGAGGGAATGAGAACAATGACAAATTTTGATTGGAATTAGAAAACCATTTACAAATCTTTAGAACAGTTAAATCACGTTAAATCGAGCGACAATCTTAAACTATTTACACTTAGAATATTGCTACAATAATATTGTACGTGATAATATTACTACGCTTCTACGAGCGACGTAATAGAAGAGCTCGTATCCTGAAAATAAACGTTACTTACTTTCATCCCTGACGTTTATAATATTTCATTATTTTACTTCTGTCGTAAGAACGTATTTACTCTCATCGAACATCGAAAGTCTGCGCGTTATCATCTATAATTTAATGAACACATCTGAAATATCCCGATCTTTTGTGGCGAATATCTACAAATTCATTTCGCCAATCACGTTGACTTTGTCACGGAATTTCTATTGCGCTTAAAGTGCATTTAACGATGTACGAATTACTGGATAGGAACGTACATAATGCTATATCGTTAAAATGTCAATTAAATTTAATGAAAACGCAAGACATTAAATAAAATGTATGACTCACAAAATTCAAGATAAACACTCTGTAAAAAAATATATGTACAGATACATCTATGCATATACATTTACATAATTTTGTAGATTATAATTTTGTAAAACTCGTGTATGGAGCGCGTACACAAATTCTTATAAATTCGTTAAATGCGCTAAATTATAAAAGTAACCGTATATAGCTTGAATTTGCTTTTGAACGCGGGACGAAGCAACGTGTTACTTTTAAGACAACGTGTTACTTTTAAGCAACGTGTTACTTTTAAGACAACGAAAGCGAATATTGCTAAAATTATCCAAAGCATACAGTTTTAAGAAGGCATCGTATATAAATGTCTTTCTATTCTTAGTTTGTATCCAAGCAAAGTATTAGCCTTTCTACCTTTTCTGCAGTAATCTTATACAAAGAATTATAGTAGAATAACAGACACATCATTTCTTTGTATAAAGTTATCACAAAAAAAATAGACATGAAAACAGCAACTGTTTTGCTCTTTTTTTTAGTCTATACGTCATCCATGTGTATTCGATGTGCGTCGTGTAAAAACATTACTGATGCACCAGTATTAAGAATTTGTAGTACACGTCAGACGTGTATAAGTCTCAAGTATAATTGTTTACCACACGTTTAAGCAACTTATAAATTGCACAGTGTTAATAATAATGAGATAAGTACAACTTGTAATGCTTATCACAATCTGTATTAGTAGAAATTATAAATAAAAATTCTATTAATATATTACTAGAATAAATCTCCATCTTCCGACGTTACAAGTCTGTAAAACATCTAACTTCGGGGTTAATTTTAATGTACGCGAAAGTTGTTAAATAAAGAAACACCTCTTTTCAAGATTTTCTTTGTTTTTTTCGACGAAATTGTCAGTTATTTCCAAAGATCAAACAATTCTAAAGATTTAACTTATTAAGTAGAAAGGATCCACGATTACAAATAAAATTCATGTTTAGGGAACTATAGGGCTCTTTCAGGATTTTACATTTTTATGTATGTCTCGTATTTTGTATCATAGGAAACAGGTACGTGTGTATTAGGTAACTCAATTTCCTGTGCGATACAACAAACGATAATATCCTTTACGCTTATTTGCTTAGCATTCCATTACAATCAAAATATATCTTAGCACATACTTATAAGTTATTATACATATAAAATGTTTTCACGCTCTCTCTGGCATCTTATTTTTTTTTATTTACTTTTATAATAAATGTATGAAAAACTAACTCAATATCCTACAGCCTCTCTCTATGAGGTATAAACTAGATGCTAACTGAACTAATATATACAATTAACATCAAACAAATGTAATAAACTATGATATAATAATAATTATATTATAATATAATTATTATTATATCGTAATAATTATATTATAAATTTATTAATATAATGACAATTACAGGCAATTCCCTATAAGCGTGTAATATTATTTAATATTAAGTGATATTTTAGATGTATTTGATAATATATATTAATAAAAATAATAGTATTTAGTATTACTGTAATATTATAATATAAATATAAAAAAAATATAATAATATTTACTTAATTTATAAAACTATTACATATTCAATTTAAGATTGTGTGTAAAGACTAAAAAATGATTTCAGCGCGCAGTTGTATACATGAAATTATACCGAAACATTATTTAAATTTAACCACTAAGATTCAACTTAAACCGATAAGAGCTTGTTATTTGTAAATTCAAATTATGGTTTTACAATAATTAATACTAATAATGATTTCAGTAACGATCCACAAAAACTAAATAAATAATATCTAGTGTTCACATAACATCATCAATAAAATATACTGCAATAATATTAAAAAATATTATATAATATTCTTGGAATATTATATTTTAATTTTTAGTAATATTCATATAACATTCTGAGAATATTGTATACTTATAGGGATTTTGCATTATTTGTAATGTTTTTTTTGTATTTTCTTACAAAAAATTACAAATTATTTATATATTGCTTAAAAAGAAGCATGTGGCAATTGTCATTTTAGATATGAAGACAGTTTTCAATCAGCCCTTAAACGCCTTTTCAGCGTACTCAGCTTTTTTTCTAATATTTTATCTGTTGTTTATAAGTATTCTTTATTAACAAAGATACCTACATCTGTTTAGTATTATTATATTCCTTAAAATTTGATGTTTTGATTAAAAAAACAATTTTTTATAATGTATATTTTTATGAAAGTTTTTTTTTATAAGCAATCGAATTGGATGTGTGTACCATATTACAATGCAGTGTTTAAGGATTTACAAGAATCAATGAAAGATAAAACTACCATTGCAGTTATCGCATACGAAGAAAATATCATGCTATAGTTATATCAAAATGAAGAATTGTATTACAATAATTGGAATTAGAAAATATGCATCAGATAATTGCGCCACGCTTATTGTGTATTCTAAAAAATGCAAAAATATGAACGCATGAGAAATTCTCTGCATTCGTAACAATGGACGGTGAAGTATTTACTTACTACTCCCTAAAAAAAATCTATTGCATTAAAATTAAACCATCGTTAATTTGTTGAATTTACTATTAGTCATAAATTAAATCACGATCTTATTAAAATAATTAAAAGAAAATTATAAGATACAAATTTTCCTGTCAGATTGTTGTCAACTAAATTACTATTATACATTGAGTCATCACATAAAGTACATTAATAAATCTATTATTACAATATAAATATCTTCTTACTGAAATATCGAAATATCAAAAGTTGTTCTATTTTATATATGTATATATATTTTATGTGTATATATATATATATATATATTTGCCTAAAATTAATACAACGTAATAAATATAAGTTTTTCTTAGAAAACGACGCTGACTTTAGGACTAATTCGCTTTTGTAAGGTGCGTATCACCTTAATGAAAAATTTCTTATATTTACATAGTAATGTACAACTATATGATTTTATACACAAATGAAGAATGACGTAATGCTTTCTTCTTCTTTAATAATATTTATTTTATTCTAATGCATCATTTTATGAAGTTTTAGGATCTTCCCCAAACGTTGTTTTGCCGTTTTCATACCCTTCTTCGGTTTTCGTTCTGAAAATTTAAGAAATTTCCATTTTTCTTCACACACATAATTATTAATCAATTATAAACTATAAAACTGCTAATATTTAAATAAAAAAGGAAATGTACAAGTAATTAAAATATTGGTATTTTACCAGCTGGAACAGGTGCTGCGAGTTTGGCTTTAACATCTTTAAGTCTGTTGGGACTTGTCAGTATTGACCCGAATCCGGTCGATTTTACAACATTTTCAGAAACTGCAGTAGATGTTCCTACTGCAGGAACTACAGGATTCTTTTGCTTCTTTTTATTATATGTACGTTTGTTGGTACCCTATTATACGCACAAAATGTAATTTACATTATTACTATTAGCCTTTTTTTTATTACAATAACATAATAAAAATGAAAAAAATTGATGAATATAGGAAGGAAGATATGTAGAGTATCACCAAGAATAGAGAAACTTTTATATTATATATTTCTAGTCCAATCTGTAGATTAATGATGACAGATTACAGCTGGCGGTCACTACATATGTGCAGTGAAAAAAAAGCAAATATTAAGTAAATGGCAACTAAAACAACAAAGATAAAAATTGCAAATCAAGAACTATAATTGGAGCAAAATTGTAATGGTAATATATACTGGAAAGCTAAAAAAAAGTACAGTACTACAGAATTTTATATCAAGTTGCAGAGATCGAAATATGCCTACCAATTTCTTCTTGGTAACCTTGTCCATGTCGTTATCCAGGTATTCATCCTATGTGAAATGTATATGCAAGAAACATGGAATTATGGTACTTAAGAAAAGTTGTGAGTAATAAAATATTTATTATAAATGACTAAAATTATAAAAAAGTATTACACATCAGATAGATTCCGCATAAATATTAATGAGCATTAATTATTAATATTGGTCTGGTAATGATTAGGAAATGTAATGCATTATATACTTATTGGTATTTTGTGAAATGATTATGTGCAAAATAAAGTAATATTGTATAAGACAACAATTTTCTTACCGATTGCTTTGCTCGCTTCGCCGCAGCCGCTTCCAGACCCTTTTCCACAGAAGTTTTCTTCGCTCCTTCCCGTGCTGGTCGATTCGTTTTCGGTAAAAGAGGGCCTACTCTAGCTTTTGGATTCCACGCTTCGTCGATTTGACTCTTTGCTTTAGGCTTAAAGATATAATCTTCCTCGTCAGAAGCATCTAAAGCTGGATAAACTGCGAATAATACAAATTTAATAGTTGTATTGTAATAAAAATATATGACATTCTGTTTATATTATATACATACTAAAATCGTCGTCTTGATGAACTTTATCGATATTTTCTATCAACTGATCGTCATCATCATCATCATTTTGTTGGCTCTTAACAGATCTCTTTGACGATTTCGTAGAACTACTCGTCGTCGAGTAACTTTGCTGGCTGAACGACAACATTCCGGCGATCGCCTCCCGTGTGGACGGTGACGCCCTGTCAGAACTGACCGTTTTCAATTTATAAATACTAAGACATCAAGAAATCAAATTCATTCCTTTGTGCGATTTAAAACTACAAAAATCTTAAGCATTAAAAAAATTGAACACTTGCATGCTTGAAAAAGAATCTTATCCTATCTGCATTCATCCTATATTAATTCAATCTCATTCGAGATTATTTTAAATAAAATTAAAGGTTTCCACACATTCCTTATGGAAAATGGATCTCAGTGGATTTGGCTGAAACGTTGGTAATTTATAGATTAGGTGATCTTGATAAAAGGTTGTCATTGCACCAACTCGATTTATTGAGCCGTTTGACCTCTAGAGATCATTGAATGTAGGAAATAGATCACTGCTGCTGCCATTGTGTGTGTGTGTGTGTGTGTGTGTGTGTGTGTGTGTGTGTGTGTGTGTGTGTGTGCGTGCGTGCGTGCGTGCGTGCGTGCGTGCGTGCGTGCGTGTAGGCAATTGTCAATCAGTTCCTCCCTTCCCTCATCCCTACCACTCCCTCCTCTCCCACCAATTCCTCTTCCTCTACGCCCCTCCCTTACCCACTCCTCCCTCCTGCACTTTCTCTACATAATCTTTACTGTTGGCATTTATCAAATCCATTTGGTACCATCGTACATACAGAACAAGACTACAAAGAGAGGAGTCGGGAGAATTCCAGCTTGAAATGTTGAGAGACGCACAGAAAATACCTCAACCTGGTTTAGCATAAAGGTCAGAGTGTACTGTCGATTTTGCAATGCAACGAAATATTAATTATGGCACCCGATTTGCAAATGTAATAGTAGCCTTAAATGGGAGGGTCCTGAACATCCATCTCATCATCCATATCATAATCGTGTGTCAGTCAGTATACCCATAATTAATATTTTGTTGTATTGCGAAATCGAGAGTACACTCTAACCCTTATTAAACCAGATTGAGATATTCTCTGTACACTCCTCAACATTTCAAGCTGGAATTCCTCCGATTCTCCTCTTTGTAGCTTATCCTGTAGGTACGATGATGACAAATGGTTTTGGTAAATGCCAGCAGTAAAGATCGTAGGAAGAGAATGTGTGCATGGGGATGGAGGAATGGATAAGTGGGAGGAAATGAGGATTGGTGAGAGAACGGTGGAGATGAGGAAAGGGAGAAACTGATTGACAATTGTCCACACGCGCGCGCGCGCGCGCGCGGTAGCAACGGCTATTTCCTACATTCGATGACCTCTAGAGGTCAAACAGCTTAATAAATTGAGTTGATGCAATGACAACTTTTCATCAGGATCATATAATCTATAAATTACCAAAGTTTCAGCCAAATGCATGTGGATTCATTTTCCATAAGGAACGTGCGGGATCCTTTAAAGACGTTTGTAAAGTATAATAATTAAGTTACATTAATCAGTTATTTTAAAGTTTATCGAAACTTTTCATTAATCGTGCCTCGGAGAGATTAATCGAGAAAGTTTCGAGATGTATGACAATTAACTGACGAAATATAAAACACGAAGATCAGAATTCCACGATGAATTAACTTACCCAGTGGGCGGCGGCATATGTTGACTGTACTGTGGAATCGTAGTCGATGGTCTAAAATTATTTTTCGTTACAGCCATAAATTATAATTCAATGCCAACAATACGAATCTGAATTTATACGTACGTGACATCAACCCTTGGAGTGCTATTTCCAAGAGTGTACGCTGACGCTTTCAACAATTCTTCTATGCCATTCTTCGGTGTATTACTTAACACATCGACGTCGCCGTCGTAGTCACGCTTCAGTCGTTTCGATCTCGGTGTCCGTTTCCGTTTCTGTGACTCATCTATCACAAGACCGTAATCACTTTCGTTGCTACCGTCGTGAAAATCATACACGGACGACGTTTGATTCCACGACAGGGATTCCTTCGTTGTCTCGAAGGAGCCAGTCATAATATTACTACCGTAAACATTTATATTGTCGTTTGTACTTCTGACAACCTCGTTATTGCCGAGCTTAAATCTAATTACGGTAGGACTCTGTTTTCCTGGCTTAGATAATTGCCGTTTATTACTGTTGGCGGATTTTTCCGTCACGGGTGTTTTAACTAAAGGACACATGATCGGTTTCGGTAATGTAAGCTTTAATGTGAGCGGTTTTGATGATTGTTGAATCAATGCAGGTTCCATTTTGTTCGTTTCCTTTAACATCATTTTATTTGTTTCTTTTAACATCGATTTATTCGTTTCTTTTAATGTCGCTTTGTTCGTTTCCTTTAATGTGGCTTTATTCGTTTTAAAAGCGTTATCAGCCATCCTGTCAGCATAATCGAAGTCTACGAAATCTTTATTCAATGGCTTTCTCTTTTTTCGTTTACTCTCGCGTTCTGGTTTTGGCGGATTTAGAGATATTAAGTATCGTTCTGCATGCCGTATCTCTTTACTAAGATCTTTCAGTAATTTCTGACTATTTATTGTGTGTGGTATTTGACCACGGCTAGTCATGCTGTACTAAAATTATATATATTAACTTTTATTTTAGGAGTTTTTTTTATATTTTTTAATTAGAATCGTATATAAACATTCTTAACTTACATCCTTATCTGTGTTCCATTGTTTGAGGATCCCAAGCAATGCCTTCACGCCTTGTAAAAAATATGGCGGACATTTCTTGCCCTCATTATTCAATTCTTTCAATTCTTTTAACAATTTCTTAGCTGCGAACCAATTAATTGTCTCAAATCCAGGATATTGAAATTTTGCTGGAGTCTTCATCTTTCTCTCTAATTCGTATATTCTACAAAATGGCATAAACATTATTGTAAAATAAATAATGAATTAATTTAATGGACTGATTTACAATTGTTTTGGAATCAAGTTTTCTCTACTCACTGTATTTGCATCTGAATGTTGAGACTGTGCACAAAATTTCCACCAAAAACTAAAGAATCCACCGGTGTGAGTACCGCGTGTATCCAGCCTGTAGGGATCATCATCGTCTGACCTTGTTTAAGCACACACTTGTAACATGCATCGGCCTGATCTCCAAAGAAAGTTTCGCTCTGTGTCGAACTACACATCCATTGTTGATACAATTGTAAATTCGCTGGCGTCGGTTTGACGAGATAAAATACTTTTTCACCACGCAACACATGATACCACACAGACGTGCCGCCAAAATCAATATGAAAATCTGTGAAACTATCTTTGACACCCATTAGGCAATATTTTTGTACTTCCGGTCGTTTTATATCATGATCCTCAGACCAATCGCGTGGCCATGCTGAATTAACCCAATCGAGCTTCCGTGCAATGTACGGTGCTTCAACCAATGACGAAAGACTACAATTGTTTTATCAAATTATACACATATATCTAACAAAAACAATCTACAAAGCTATATACAAGGTGCGTTCCACTTGACGCTCACAACGCTCATGGAATCATTTCATCCTTGTTGTTTATTAAATGTTAACAAGGATAAATAACGCTCGCAAGCGTTGTGAACGCCAAGTGGAACGCACCTACAATAAGACAATGAATATTGATATACCCAGTGTTAGTAAATTCAAGACTTATGACATTAAATACTCTTATTCGGGAAGAAGAGTTGTAATATTCTACAAAGTCTCTTAATTTCATACGTAAGTTACTTTGGCTTGTAACATCAATAACATCTATGTCTCGATCAGCACCTGAAAATAATATAAATTGTGTAAGTTTATATGAGATAAAATACATAATTATATAAGATAAAAATATATAAAATAACAAATTTATTATAAAAAACAAATAATTATAAGGTATCAATTATTCCAAGCTACTTTTATATTTATCTTACCTATGTAAGTTTCGGCATCGCAGACACTAAAAGTGGGAGGTGGTACAACCATGTCAAGTCCATCTTTTCCATCAATAATGATAGGAGTTTCAAAGCCATTACTTTGTAAATATTGAAAAGTCAATTGATGTCCTTTTACATGTTTCACAACTTCATCGGCTTTGGGAAAATGTCTAGACTTCAACTCTCGTATGAATACTGCAGTTCCAGTTTGAACTGGTTTTACACTTGCATCGAGTTCAGTATAATCATGTCTATGATAATTTGTTCTAATTTTCACTATAAAATAGAATGAACATTAAAGACAACAAATTTTGTACATATGCTCTCTAAATTCTTTAGAGTAAAATCTCATTCGAAAGAATAAAAATTGAGCTACTCTTAAAAAAAGGTTTAATTTTCAATCTTTAAAAACAAGATTTTATTCTTTAGAGTGACAATTTATTCTAAAAAGTTTCAGAAAATGTAAATATATATAAAACATTGTCAATCAACAGCCTTACGGAGTGATGGGCCACACATGGGCTCGCATCGTGGACAGTGGTACTTGTCAAGATCTGTGGTCACATATTCTTTCAAATTCACGCACCTACAATGAAACAATAACATAACACTGTACAGACTACAGAAGGAAAGGTTACAACACATGACGCAAAGGCTACAAATCGTAGGTGCACATAGATCAGCACTTTAATCGAGTGAGGCAAGTCCTGTCAGTGCTTAGACCGTTGTCGCCACGTCGCGTGTATGTACATTGACAAACGCCAAGTACGAATTGGCATGCGACACAGGTTATGTTAACGTCAACAAAAACATATAGTTCGCAGTATTCGCAGTGCGACACCGGCGAGACTGCGTTGCATTGACAATTACAAGCGGATATTCGCGAACACGCGAGTGATTCCGCGTGGAAAGTCCATTGGACCGTCTGCGAAAAATCGCGGGAGAAAAAACGTCGTCTTTCAAGCGCGCACCACGACGTACATCCCGATGTGCAAGCGAACGCTTACCCGCCATGGTACCACTCCTTGCATACATCGCACTGTATCATAAATTGCGGGGGATCGTACGAACGACCGCAGAAACAGTACGAATCTGACGTCTCCATTTCCTCGTCGGTCACCAGCATCGAGTACATCTCTCGTGGCACAGTTCCGTCGACAACGGAGGTGGCATGGTACGAGCAAACAGCGTCGGGGCGTCGCGTCGCGCAAAAAGAAATGGCGCCTGCTGGGAAATCGAGCCAATCGGTGTTTCACATTTAAATATAGGCGCGAAGTTGAAACGCGAGATTCGTTGGTTTATCTAAGCGATTACTTTGCAGCTGAATTCTTTGCATTGTTGGTCCTGTCGCGCAGGGATTTTGTAGAGGTTCTTAAAAAGATTTAGAGGATTCGTTGTATCAAAACTATACGTATAATTGTGGAGAACTCAAAATAAACAGTAGTACAAATGAAGTGTAAGCCCGGATCCTCATACGGGCAACAGCGCCCAGATAACAATTGGTGAGCGCTCATATTACTCTCACGGCATGATTGTCATGAGTTCGTGCAAAAACGCATTCATGTTACGTTTATGCATGCAATAAAAATCGCGCGCTTTCCGCCATCTTATCATACGCCGAGCTGATTATCATTGAATTATTTTGTTAAAATAACAAAATACAATTTTTTTGTTAAATGAACAAAATATTGTAAATTTTGTTATTTAACGATACAAATTTATTTGCTTACTTACTTTTTGTAAATAACAAGGTAAAATTTTGTTGCCATTACAAAATAAGTGTTCTTTTAGTAATTTAAACAAAATAATCTATTTGGGTAGACAAAATAGTTTTAAATAATTGAAGAATTAAAGGACTCTTTTTATAAACAATAATTAATACGTTGAAAATAGTTTTATTAAAAGTATATATAGACCATTCGAAACATCTCTGTCAATAAGGTAACAGTGGAGCAGTACGTTAGGTAAACGACTCAGAACTGGATCGTGGATCGAGTCACGAGTTAAATCCTATCAGGCTTAAAAGTTTTTTCCTAGGTATTATTAGTCAGTTCAGCACTTAAGGAGAGGACACAAATGATGAAGAAAAAAATCTAATTTTTTTTTGTACGCGTCCGCATGCGTGAGAGCAATATGGTATTCAAATGAGGACACAACTGTCATGCGCATGACACTCACGCGTGCGGATAATCTTGCACGCGTGAATGCACTGTGAGAGCATTGTGCGCGCATTTTGTTATCTGGGCGCTTTGACACCAAACGCTGATTGGTGAAAAACCGGTTGCGAGGGTAAAATTTACCCTCATAACCCATTTTTCACCAATCAGCGTCCAGTGTCAAAGCGCTGTTGTCCCGGTTGTCCGTATGAGGATCCGGGCTAAGATATCAACTAAGATCTACGTGTCGGGCTGTGTGGCTCCGCGGCAAGACGTTGGCTTTACGTTACGGACTAGTACACCCACGGTAATTAATTCTGTCCCTCGGAAATTTTCACAAAATGAAAAGTGACCTCCTTTCTATATTAATTGTCACTATTCATGCACGATAAGGTTCAGGGTCTGAGCACAAGCACTGCCGTAATATTTTACGACATACTTAAGTTGTAGACGTAAATAACGCACAAGCTTTGGCGTATCGGCGTATGACGTGTTTATGTACATTATTGACATATCTTTCGATAGCGTGCATAAACACGTCATACGCCGATACGTCAAAGCTTGTGCGTTATTTACGTTTACAACTTAAGTTGTCGTAAAATGTTACGGCAGTGCTTGTGCTCAGACCCT